GAGGCGGAGGAGCAGGAGGCAGAGGCGAGGCAGGTACGCACCGGGGTGCCCCCTCGGCGCCCCTCCCCGCCCCAGCGGCCCTGGGTCCTTGCCTGAGTCTCCAGGCCCCGCCGCCCCCCGGGGGCAGAGCCCGCGGGCAGCGGGAGACGAGGGTCCCGCCCGGCGGGACAAGTTGCAGTGATGCAGACTCGCCATGCTCCTCTGGAAGCGGGGAGCCGGGAGTTTGGCTGTGTCCTTCCCTCCTGTTCCGGCGGGGTCGGGCTCTGAGCTGAGGGGGTGGGGGGGGAGGCAGGGGGCAGGGCGGAGGGGGGGATGCGAGGGAGGCCTCGGGACAGGCCTCCCACTCTGGCCTTTTGCTCCGCACTCTCCTCGCACCCCTCGCACCCACCCGTTCCCCAGGCCACTTGCATGCGGCTCACTTCGACATTGGAAACGGAATCGGCTTGCTGCTTCATAGAAGGTACTTTGGCGGGGAGGAGGAGGAAGGAAAGTTGCCTTTCCTTAGGCCAACTTGAAATCCAGACTCCAGAGTCAATGTGATGGGTTTTTTTGTGAGGTTTCCTAGGACCGGACTGAAAGAAAAGCTACCGGATTGTTGTCACCCTCCTGTTGTCCTTTCCAGGCTGTAGTGGGCTTTGGCATAGCCCCCAGCCCCACTCCCCAGGAGGTAGACACGCCTGCGCCCTGCGCCCAGCCCGCCTTCCCCACCTCTGCCATCAGCCAGGCCCTGACCACACCGCCTCTCCAGACATCCCCTCACCCGCTCATCCTTCCTTTCAGACAAATCTCCTTAGGTTGGAAAAGGACTGGCTCAGGCTACCACCTCGGGACTCCGTGGGATTGTTAACACTTTGTTCTCATTCCTCAGCCTCTCAGCTTGCAGGGCACCGTATCCAGGACAGGCCCTCTGCTTCCTTGTCAGTGTGTCTTGGAAAACCCACTGTGTTCTTTACTGAGCACAATGATTTATGCTGGAGAGAAGCCCTGGGGGAGATCAGCGGAGGGGCAGCCAGGCTGGGTGTCTTAGCTGAGGGAGTGTGCCAGACCCCCCTCTTGCAGGCGTTTTGCTTGACAAGTTGGTGACTAATTGTGTCATTAGAGTGGCTTCGGAGCAGTGCTGAGAAGGGCTGATGGAGTGCCCTATGGTCCTGGCCTAGCAGGCTCCAGCCCTCCCTCGCCTTGTAGATGGCAAGTGGGGGTTTGGACCTGTGTTGTTGTGTCAGTTTTGCCTCCATGTTTGGGATTCCTGCCCTAAGGAGGCCTATGGGAACTAGAGATCTTGACTCCTTTGCAAAGGGCCTTGGTTCAGGGGCAGGGAGAGGACACAGAAGTATATCCCAGTGGTAGATTTAAGGGAAGAAGTTGGTTAGAAATGTTCTTGAATAGGCTGGGAAGGTGGCTCAGTGGTAGAGCGCTTGCCTTGCATGCATGAGGCCCTGGGTTTGATTCTCCAGCACCACATAAGCAAAAAGAAAAAAGCCGGAAGTGGTGCTGTGGCTCAAGTGGTAGAGCGCTCGCCTTGAGCTGAAGAGCTGAGGGACAGCGCCCAGGCCCAGAGTTCAAGCCCCACGACCGACCAAAAAAAAAAAAAAAAACAGCTGGAAGCCAGGCGCCCATGGTTCACGCCTGTAATCCTAGCTACTCTGGAAACAGATCTGAGAATCTGAGGTTTGAAGCCACCCCAGGCAGGAAACTACAGGAGACTCTTATCTCCAATAAACTATTCAAAAAAGCCAGAAGTGGCACTGTGGCTTAGAGATAGAATGCTTGTCTTGAGCAAAAAGAAGCTCAGGAACAGCATACAGGCCCAGAGCTTAAGCCCCAGAACCAGCCAAAAGAAAAAAAAAAAGGGATGCAGTTAGAGCCAAATGTGGTGTCACAGACCTGTAGACCCAGCTTGTTGTGAGGCTGAGATCAGGGGATCATGGCCCAAAACTATCCAGGACAGACAAATCCATGAGGCTCTAGCTCTACCTAACTAGCAAAAAACCTGAATTGGAGGCTTGACTCAAATGGTAGTACACTAGCCAATCTTGAGCAAAACAGCCAAATGGAAAAACCAAGCAAGAATATGAGGTCTGAGTTCAAGCCCCAGTATTGGGGAGTGCGCGCATGTGTGTGCGCACGCGTGTGCACACACACACACACACACACACAAGGAAAGGAAGGAGAGAGGGGGAGAGAGAGAGAGAGAACAGACTAGGAACCCAATGCAGTGTCATAGGTCTGTGGTCTCAGCATTTGGGGTGGCAGGGAGGGAACTTAAGTAGAAGTTCAGGAGTTCAAGGCCAGCCTGGGCAACATATCAAAATCCCATATGAGGGTCTAGGAAGGTGGCTCAATGGTAGAGCGCCTGCCTTACATGCATGAGGCCCTGGGTTCCATTCCTCAGCACCACATAAGCAGAAAAAGCCAGAAGTGGCGCTGTGGCTCAAGTGGTAGAGCATTAGCTTTGAGATGAAGAGCTGAGGGACAGCGCCCAGGCCCAGAGTTCAGGCCCCCACGATGGACAAAGAAAGAAAAATGATCTAAAGTAGCTTCAGTCCTAGAGTAGGGATTTTATTTTTTTGTACCAGGCAGCTGGTTGATGGCTTAAACACACACAGACTGGATGACTCTTCTAGATTACAGGAGACAATAAGAAAAAAAAAAAAAAGCAATTGACAGATAAATGCAATCTTGATCCTGTAGATTCTAGATTGGATTGGAGGTAGGGCACTACAAAGGACATTTGGGAGATAACAGATTTTTTTTCCTCCAGTCTTGGGAATGGAGCCAAGGGTCTTACATAGGTAGTCAGGCTCTAACCACTGAACTGCCTTCCTAGCCCCAAGTCATATTTTAAATGAGGGATGTATTAGATAATTGTACTGGTTCTGTGCTGAATTTCTTCCATGTGGTGCCAAGTGTTCTGGTTATGCAGAAAAAATGTCTTTGTTCTTAAGAAGACTCTGAAGTACTTAAGGATGATATGTCACGGTTCAGTGATACCATGTTCGGGTACTTTTCAATGGGTTTGGAAGTTTTCAAACAGGTTCGGAAGTTTTGGAAAACAACAGGGACTGGAGGCATGGCTCCATGGTAGAGTGCTAGCGAGTGAGCAAAAGCAGCAGGTATGGAGTCTGAGTCCTGGTCTGCCCACCACCCCAAAAAGAAAGAAAGAAAGGAAAGAGAGAGAGGAAGGAAGGAAGGAAGGACGGAACGAAGGAAGGAACGAACATTGGGAAAAAAATAAACAGTAAAGAATTTCTCAGAAAGAGCTTAGAGTTTTGTTTTTGGGGGGGATACTTTGATGGTGGTGTTTGTGTAATGGATAGACAGCAGCCTTTGTCCATCTGTCTGTCTGGTCTTGCTACTCAAGGGCCTGGCTTCTCAAGTCCTTTTGCTTAGGATCCCCCATGTCCCCTGACCTGGCCTCTCCTCACCACACATGCCTCAGGAAGCTGTGGTACCTGGAATGAGGGGGCGGGGCAGATCTTCCCCATCATTGGCCCTGACAGTTGCCATGCCAACATGAGCCCCCCTTTGTTCTCCTGCCCAAACAACTAATAGAGGCCCAATATGTGTTTTGTTTCCATCCCTGTGGAGTTTTGTCCTTAGTCACCTTGGGCTAGTGAGAGAACAAAATGCGGTGGATGGGGGCTTCCTCCCCAGGTAGCTAGCTCACATTTCTCCATGCTGGAAGACCCAAGATCAAGGGGTCAGGAGATTTCGATTTTTGGTTGGTTTGGACAGCTGCCTGCTTCCTGGCCAAGCAAAAGCAAGTTCTGGTGTCTGAGCCTCTTGGGAGCCTCAGTCATGACCCTGTCTAACCCTAACTCCCTCCCCAGGCCCCTGTCTCTTGGGGGGCTGTGCTCTGACGTAGGAAGGAACATTGGTCCCTCATAGGCCTAGCGATTTTCAGGAGAATTAAAATGCCTGTTAATGAGGACATTGTGTTAATTACCGAGTTGGTATTAAGCAAGGGAAACAACATAGAATTTGATGCGTCAGCTGCACTGGGAGGGGCTGGCATGCACGTCTATGTCCTGTAGCTCAAAAGGGCGGCTTTCTTAATTTGTGTGTGTGTGTGTGTGTGTGTGTGTGTTTTTCTTTTAAGCCAGTCCTGGGGCTTGAACTTGGGGCCTGGGCGCTATCCCTGAGCTTCTTTTGTTCAAGGCTAGCACTCTACCACTTGAGCCACAGCAGTCAGAATTTTTACTTAGCTAAAAGTATTACTTTGTTTTTTTGTCAGTCATGGGGCTTGAACTCTGGGCCTAGGCACTGTCCCAGCTCTGCAGCTCAAAGCTAGCGCTCTACCATTTGTATTATTTTTTTTTTAAGAAAGTAGTCTTATATAAAAAAATGCCTCACTTTGTCAGAGTGAGAACTAAATGGTTGTCCTGTGTTCGGCTTTAAGATGGCTTCTTGGGCTGGGAAGGTGGCTCAGTGGTAGAGTGCTTGTCTTGCATGCATGAAGCCCTGGGTTCGATTCCTCAGTACCACATAAGCAGAAAAGGCTGGAAGTGGCGCTGTGGCTCAAGTGGCAGAGTGCTAGCTTTGAGCTGAAGAGCTGAGGGACCGTGCCCAGGCCCAAAGTTCATGCCCCACGACCAATATACATAAACACACACAAAAAAAAGCGGTGCTAGAGTGTGGTTCAAGTAGTAGAACAGCAGCCAAGCAAGCAGAATGCCCTGAGTTCAAACCCCAGTACCACAAATTTATTATTAATTAATTTATTATTATTATTATTATTATTATTATTATTATTCTGTTTGTTTCTACCTAGCCATGAGATTAAGGGGGTCATTTGCCCTTTGGACCATTTCCTCACCTGTAAAGTGACTGAAATGACCTTTGAAGTCTCTTATAGCCCATAGGGGTTCCCTTTCCAGCCATCAGCCTTGCGACCTTTGTCTGTGCATGTTTGTTTGAATGTGTGTGCGTATGCGTGTGCATGCCCATGCGTGCCTGCCAGTGCTAGGGCTTAAACTTAGAGCCTGGTCACTTGTCCCTTAGCTTTTTCCACTCAAGGCTGCCACTTTACCACT